TTAAAACATGCAAGGAAGTATTTCCGTTGTTGGGGAGCGGGAGCCGTTGTTATTGTAAACCGTCGGCCAGGGGCACAATTTGAGCAGGAAAACTCTCCCTGGCAAAAGCGCAGCGAGCCCCAGGAGGGGCACTTCGATGGAAAAAACACGTATGTTACGCGAATGCGTGTCCTGCATAATTCGCCAGGAAGTCGCGGGCGAGAGCGCGATTCCAAAGTAAATTCCCAGGCGAGAGCGCGATTCCCGAATGGCGAGGGCGTGGCGCCTGAAGCACTTGCGGGGCAGTCACAGGCGAGATCACGATTCGTGGATACATTGCAAGGATGTTTCTTGCAAGAACGCGAGTCCTCCATAATTGCGAGAATTGAGAGAGCGCGGGTGCGAACCCTGGGAGGGGCTCTTCAATTGAAGAACCATATGTTACACGAATTGGTCTACAATGCTGAAAATTCAGCAACAACAGCTACAACAATAACAACAACAGCAGCAGCAACAACAACATCAACGACGATCAGTTTAAGACTGTTCGCTCTTATCTGCTCGAGTGGCATTCCGCGTGTATTTCCCAAACCCTCGATACCCGCCCTCTTCGTCTTTGCCTGCAAGCCGGGCCCCAGCAAGCGGCGGGGCGGCCGCGGCCCGTCGGCCTGGCCAGCGGCACCGCTGATCGGCGGCACAACGACCCCAAGAGGGACGGACAGGGGACCGACCACGACGACGACGACGACGACGACGACGGCGACGACGGCGCCGACGACGACGAGCGAAAGCGAGAGCGAGCGCGAGAGCGACAGCGGGGCCACGAAGGGCGGGAAAGGGGGCCACTGAGGGCGACAGTGAGGCCACGAAGGGCATGGGGGCCACGAAGGATGCAAACGAACGGGGGCCGCGAAGGGCAGATAATGCTGGGCCACAGAGGGCAACGACGGAACTATTGAGGGTAGCAACGGGGCCACCTAGGACAGCGAGGGGGCCACAAAGGGCGACAGCGGGGCCACGAAGGTCATGCATCTGGGGCCACGACGGGCGCGAACAAGCGGGGGCCACGAAGGGCATACGTACATTGGGCCGCAGAGGGCAAGGGCGGGGCCTCTGAGGGCAGCAACGGGCCACGAAGGGCAGCGAGGGGGCCACGAAGGGCGACAGCGGGGCCACGAAGCGCATGCATGTGGGGCCACGACGGGCGCGAACGAGCGGGGGCCACGAATGGCATACACATGTGGGGCCACGAAGGGTAGCGAGGAGCCACGAACGGCTGCAACGGGGCCACGAAGGGCAGCGAGGGGGTCACTAAGGGGTGCAACGGGGCCACGAAGGGCAGCGAGGGGGCCACGAAGGGCTGCAACGGGGCTACGAAGGGCAGCGAGGGAGCCACGAAGGGCTGCAACGGGGCTACTAAGGGCAGCGAGGGGGCCACGAAGGTTGCAACGGGTCCACGAAACTGCAACGAGGGGGCCACGAACGGCTGCAACGGGTCGACGAAGGGCAGCGAGGGGGCCACGAACGGCTGCAACGGGGCCACGAAGGGCAGCGAAGGGGTCACTAAGGGGTGCAAGGGGGCCACGAAGGGCAGCGAGTGGGCCACGAAGGGCTGCAACGGGGCCACGAATGGCAGCGAGGGAGCCACGAAGGGCTGCAACGGGGCCACGAAGGGCAGCGAGATTCCGATTCCAAAGTAAACTGTGAGGGAGTCCTACGCGTGAGCGCGACTCCTGGGTGCCTGGGTGTCGGGAGCGCGGCGCGTGGGGAAATTGCGGGGAATTCCAACGCAAGGACGCGATTCTTGAGTAAATTGCAAGCGAGTCTCCAGCGAGAGCGCGACTCCAGAGCGCCGAGAGAACGATCTCTGAATACAGTGTAAGGAAGTCCTAAGCGAGAACGCGACTCCTGAATAGCATGCGAGGAATTCTCAGGCGGGAGCGGGGGTCCTGACGAAATTATGAGGAAGTCCCAGGCGGGAGCCGTTGTTGTTGTAAACCGGGGGCCAACAACGCAATTTGAGCCTAGCGACTTTCCCGGGCAAAAAAGGGTGCGAGCCCCGGGGGAAACACTTCACTTGAAAAACCAAACTGGTTACCGGAGGGGGGATCAACAATAGTTATTCTTCAACTATGAGAGCCCAACAACATCATCATCATCACCAACAACATTCATTCAAGACTGCTCGCTCGTATCTGCTCGCGGGCCATTGAACGTATATCCCAAACCCTCGATACCCGCCCTCTTCGTCTTTGATCGTGCCCCCTTGGGGATATTTATCTTTCTGACCTGCAACGCGTGTCTCGTGCAGCCCTTAGGGCAGGGGAAGAGAGGACGGATGGAAGGACGGGACAAGGGGGAGAGACGAGGATGGAGCACGAGAGACACTAGCAGGAGGGGGGGCTCAGAGCAGAATGCACGTGGAAGAACCTAACATGCGGGTCGGGAAGAGCCTAACATGCGGGTCGGGAAGGCGTGCCCAGGCGGCCAGGTCGAGCAGGCGAGTTGCTGAAGCGTGCGTCGTGCATGAATCGCGAGGAAGTCTCGAGCGACAGCGCGATTCCAAAATACATCTTGTGAGGATATCCGCAGCGAAAGCTTGATTCCTGAGTGTCGAGGGCGCGGCGATGAATACATTACGAGGAAGTCCCACGCGAGAGCGCAATGCCTGCTTACATTATGACGAAGTCCCGCGCGAGAGCTCGATTTGGGAATGAATTGTGAGGAAAAATTAAGCGGGAGCCGTCGCTGTTGTAAACCGGAGGCCAAATAGACAATTGTGAGACTCAAGACTTTCCCTGGCAAAAAACACGCTGCGAGCTCTGGCAAGGGCACTTCAATTGAAAAAAACACCATGTGCCCCGGAGGGGGAGATCAACAATACTTATTCTTGAGACATGCGACATCAAAAACAACAACAACCACCACCACAACAACAATGACAACAACAATAACTCAACCCAACGAAAGGGTATGTTCTCATGCCTGGCGCGACCAACCAATGCCAGGCACGACCATCCTAGGCCAACACTTCTCAGCACGACCAATCAATACCAAGCCATACCAAGCAAGGCCATCCAATGCTAATCAAGGCCAGGCACACCCACCTACAAGCACGACCAACAAATGCCAAGCACGACCAACCAATTCCAAACATCACCGCTCCTTGCCAACCAATGCACAGCAATTCCAAGCACGTCCGACCGAAGCCAAGCACGACAATCGAATGCCTAACAGCGCCAGGCACGACAACCCAATTCAAAGAAATGCCAAGCGCGACCAACCAATGCCAAGCACGACCATTCTATGCCAAGCGCGACCAACCAAGGTCAGGCAATTACAAGAGCAGGACCATTTCATGCCAAGCGCTGCCAAGAAAGACCAACCAATGCCAAGCAGGACAATTCAATGCCACGCGTGACCACATGACCAACCAACGCCAGGCAATGCCAAGCACGACCGCTCAATGCAGCACACGACCAAGCAATCCCAAGACATGCCAAGCACGACCAACAATTGCCAAGCCCGACAAAGCAATCTCAAATGCAAAGCACTGCCAATCACGACCACATGATGCCGATGTCAAGCACGACCAACCAACGCCAACAACGCCAAGCAGGACCAACCCATGCCAAGCACAACCAAGTAATCCCAGCACGAGCAGCCAACAACAGGCATCGCCAAGCACGACCACTCGATGCCGAGCAGTGCCAAGCATGACCAACCCATGCCAAGCAACGCCTCGTCCAAGGCCCATAGGACCAATCCAATTAGCTCCGCGGCGTCCCTAAAGGCTCTGGACAGTTTAAGAAGGTTCTCCCACAGACTTGCTCAAAAACCTGTGCATGCACTTGTGATTGCGAGACATTGATCAGAAACCGTGACAAATCTCACGTGACTTTGAATCCTCCGTGCGGTGCATCGACGCACCTCCCACCAAAAGGGGATCTTCCCAAACAGCCCTGGCGCCACTCCCAGAGGCTCGGGGCATTGCCCAAGGGGCTCTAGGTAGTGCTGAGGATGCGCAGAGGCACCCCCTGAAGCCGCGAAATTGTCTCGACAGGCCCTGACGCTTCTTCCAGAGGCCTTAGGGGGCAACAACTCAATCGCGCCATGCACTTTGGCCTTTCTTTCAAGTGTGGCATGCCGGCGGGATGAGAGACTGGTAAAAGAGTAAGAACAGTGATAACTCCTTGTTGCCGCGTTCGTTGTCAGAAACATGTCCTTCCTCAGCCTTCCCTTATCATTCCTCTTCCTCGTTCTGGCCTTACTCTGCAAACCCTCCCCCGTCCTCATCACTCTTTCTTGTAGAAGCTCCTCCAGGGATAATCGATTGAAGGCCTCACGACATCGTTTTAAGAGTTTCTCAGATGCCTCTGGAAGTCTCCTGGGTGCCTTGATGGGGGCCTCTGGGGGCTTCCTTGGGCCACGTTGCTGCAAACCACGGCTTCCCTTAACGACTGAATCACGATCGGGGGGCATCTTGGAGCCACCTTGGGCCATCATGGGGCTCTCTTCGGGCCGACTTGGGCTTGTTAGGTAAATCTGGGATGATGGAAATCGTTAGGCAATCTCGGACGCCAGCAAGACCGGAGAGTAGAGTATAAACAAAATCGTAGGAACATCTAAGGAGATCTACATGTGTGTTGCGCTTCGAGGGCCTCTTGGGGGTGTTCTTTGCGCCATCTTCGGGCGTCTGGTTGTTGTCTGGGGCCGATTGGGGCTCTCAGGGCGGCGTTTGGCAACCCTCCTGACACATTGTTACGCCCGCTGGCTAACAAGGGGCGTGCATGAGGCCCGGAAAGCTTCGAAAACCCAATGGAAGAGCGCCCGAAGGGCCACATGGCCAGGGATCTGAGAGGTTCGGTGAGTTATTCGGGGTTGCGCATCGGTAGTGGTATAAGCAGTGGAGTATGGAGGGATAGAAAGTTACTTGGAAGGAGAGGGGGGATGTGAGAGGAGAGGAGAGGGGAGGAGAGACAGGGAGAGAGGATCTGTAGACGGAGCGAATTGAGTCCGAGGGGATGGGAGGAGGAATGTGAAGAGAACGCACGGGGCTACCAGCGGGCCGGCAGGCGTGCAGACAGCGATGCAGACGCCCCTGGCGCTGCCCCTCGCGGCGCGCAGGGGCGAAGCAGCCGCTGAAAAGCACGGCCCGTTCTGAGCATCTTCTTAGGGTGGAGGGCTCAGGGTGAAATCCATGTGGGCTTTCGCACCTCGAAGATCAATCCGTCTTGTGATTCACCGCTTGCAAATTCAAGCCTCGAAGATGCATCGAAACGGCATTTCAGATTTCATCCTCTGCCCTCCACCCGAAGAAAATGCTCGGCCGCTGACCGAGAACTCCCAAAACTGCAGAGAGCATGGCCTTTCGCAGGCCGACATGCGGAGCGCGCGCGGAGCGTGCTTGGGGTGCAGGGATCGGGCCCCGCGCCGACTGGCGAAGTCCGCGCCGTGGCCAAAAAAATGGCCGTCCTCTGGCCGTCCTCGGGTGCTCTTTGAACTCACGGGCCGAGCGCACGGCAGAAGAGCCCCGGAGCGAAAGGATCCGTCGGACCGGCGATCGACATGAATCGGCTCGGCGGAAAGCGGCAGCCAAGTCAGGGGGAGCCGAATCGGCGGAAATCGGCAGGCAAATGGGCGTCCATTGCGAAATCGGAGCCCAAACTGGAGTCCGAGGTCGAATCGAATCGGAGGAAACGAGGCGAGCCCTGGCGCACGGCCAATAGATTTGTGGCGCGGCAGTGGTGGTGCGGGGCGCCGCTCCTCTGCCGCGGAAGAGAAAGAAAGAGAACAACCAGGCTGAGCGAGCGCCCGCTGCAGCGAGGCGCCCGGGCCGCAGCGATCCTCCCACCCCCCCCAACCCCGGCCCCCTGCCACCGCTCGGACGTCCATTTCGCGTGCATGTGTCGGTTTCGTGCGCGTTTCTGTCCGCAAGATGGCCCAGGATGCTTCGATGGCCCTCGCCGAGAAGAATGCACACGTCCGAGCGACGCCAAGACCCCCCCCCCCTCCCTCCCCCTCATCAGGCTGCCCCGCCTCCAACGTGTCCCCATGCCCATCCTAATCCTCCTCCTCACTATCTCCCTCCTCCCTCTTGTACTACTCTCACAGTCTTCCTCCCCCGGATTAGCCTTACAAAGGGCCGAACCCCATCCAGCTCCGTGTAGCGCAATTAGTCAAGCACTACAATCGGGCACTTTTGCTTAGAGCGCCGCGGTGGCGGCCCTGGGCGACAAGCTATGCCTTACAAGCGGCTGACGCGTCGCTCCGCCCCGCGGGGCGGGAGGCTAGAGGAACAGCTCGGGACATTCACGCTCGGGGACTGGGACGTGGTCAGCGTGTCGCTCCGAAGACTGTTGAGCCAGAACAGGAAGGACGACACGCGAGGCCCAAACTCCCGACCGAACGTGCTCTCCTCTCCCTCGGAGATGTCAAAATGGACCTGGCGCACTCTCCGCGTACCTCCCAAATGTCTTTCCTGGGCTGCCCGCAAGTACCTCCCAGGTGCATTCCCTAGGCTGGGCCGGCAGGTGGCTCCCGAGTACCTTTGCCCGGGCGCCCGCAGGTATTGTAGTTTTTTTGGGGGGGGGGGGGATTTTTTTCTCATGCGGGGTTTCAAGTCTGATCTGCTGTACAACGTGCTTCTATCAGAACGTTTTCGGTGTTTCCAATGTTTATCCCGCTGCAGTATGGGCCTCGTTCCACTCTTCTGACTCCGAGTCCTTCCTCATCGTCCCCCCCACTCCTTCACCCTCCTGGAATTCCCCTGGTCCTTCTGCTCCTCCCGCTCCTCCCACTCCTGCTCTTGCTGCTGCTGATCCAACTCCTCCTGCTTCCTCATTCGCCTCCTCTTCCTTCTGTCATCCTCCTGTGCATATTATACCTCTTTTTCCTCCTCAAATTTGCACAGCCCCCCTTGTCTGATTATGCATAGCACGATGAACTCATTTGGGGGGTTGCAGGGCCGCGACGTCAGCAGTTTGAGGATAGAGAACGCAATCAGCGCAATAGAAGGGATGGGTGGGAGGGGTACGATGTCAGACAAGGCTTGAGCACATCAAGCTTGTCCACTCCTCTCTCGCTCCTACTCCCCACTTCCCCTTTCCCATAACGAGAACTCTTCCAGCCCATATACTTGTTGGTAATTATGTTCGGGCTGGTATGCGGGGGAGTGGTTCCTGAAGGGCACGGGGCCTGAATCCTGGGACTTCCCCTGGGACCGGCCTTTCGCATCTGACGGCCCCAAGGCCTGGGAAAGACTCCAGGAAGGCGAACATGGCGGATAAAACCCAACCGCCTCCCTCAGGACACCTCTTCTCGCTGTGAATATCCTCCTCCTGCTGCTGCTCATAACCAGCGCTGCCGCGCGTCGCCCAACGCCGCGGGTCAAACTCCTGCCACGCTGCCAGCCCTGCCGTCTTCACCCACCTCCAAGCTGCCAGCCTACGCGCAGAGAGCAGACTGTATAACTACTCCAGGACCTAGACTGCAAAAAGTTAGGCAAATCGCCCCGTGGCCTTGCACCTACAGGTGCCCAAGGCAAGCAAACATACGGGCCATAACGGGACATGCCACTCGCTGCAAACACACATCTTCACTGTCGTGATACCCTGGCCATCAAAAAACACCACGGGTGAACAATCATATCTGGGGCAATGGCCAGGGCGCCAAAAAAAAAATGTAAACAAAAATCAGAAGCAACAGCGTGGAATGGGGACTCCCCGCTGCAATGTCCCGGCGGAGAACCGCGGGTCACGCCCCGAGGCCGCGAGGAGGACATCCACCTCCACGCCCATATCCTCCTTGACGTCCACCACCTCATCCTCCTCAGTCCTCCGCAACAAGCACCTGCATGAATAAGACGGCGCCGATGCACCTACTTCCGCGGGGGCAGCTTGCGCGCGGGTGAACGCGCAATCGAGCCCCGTGGCATCGCCCCCCAAAAAAATTGGCGGTGCAACGGACCGCTTCTGTCAAAGCCTCGTCCCCCCCTCGGGGGCAGTTTACCCACCCATCCCGCTAGCAGACCGTGGAGGCCTTGGATAAATAATCCAGGGTCTGGAGCCGTGTAGAGATCCACTTGCGTGGGAAGGGGGGGGGGGGGCAGAAGTTGTCCGCCCCCAATCATTGTGAGCTCTCTGCCCTCCCTCCGTCTCCCCTCCCTCCCCCCTGCTTCCTCCTCCCTCCCGCCACCCTTCTCCCTCCCCCCTCCCTCCCACCTCCCTCCCTCCCTTCCTCCGCCTCAGATCCCCTGGAGGAGGACGGCAGGTGAGCGGTGCGGTTTCGGTTGCGCGCCCGCGGGCCGGTTGAAATGTGTCGCCCAGTTGCGGTTGCGGTTGCGCGCCCGCGGGCGGTCTGAAATGTGTCGCGTAGTTGCGGTTGCGCGCCCGCGGGCGGGTTGAAATGTGTCACCCAGGTGCGGTTGCGGTTGCGAGCCCGCGGGCCGGTTGATAGTGTCGCCCAGTTGCGGTTGCAGTTGCGCGCCCGCGGACGGGCCGAAATGCGTCGCGTAGTTGCGGTTGCGGTTGCGCGCCCGAGGGCGGGTTGAAATATGTCGCCCAGTTGCGCTTGCGCGCCCGCGGGCGGGTTGAAATGTGTCACCCAGGTGCGGTTGCGGTCGCGCGCCAGCGGGCCGGTTGAAATGTGTCGCCCAATAACGGTTGCGGTTGCGCGCCCGCTGGCGGGATGAAAAGTGTCGCCCAGTTGCGGTTGCGCGCCCGCGGGCGGGTTGAAATGTGTCGTGAGGTTGAGGTTGTGGTTGCGCGCCCGCGGGCGGATTGAAGAGTGTCGCCCAATTGCGGTTGCGGTTGCGTGCCCGCGGGCGGGTTGAAATGTGTCGTTGCGGTTGCGGTTGCGCGCCCGCGGGCGGGTTGAAATGTGTCGCCCAGTTGCGCTTGCGCGCCCGCGGGCGGGTTGAAATGTGTCGCCCAGTGCGGTTGCGGTTGCGCGCCCGCGGGCGGGTTGAAATGTGTCGCCCAGTTGCGGTTGCGTTGCGCGCCCGCGGGCGGGTCGAAATGTGTCGCCCAGTTGCGGTTGCGGTTGCGCGCCCGCGGGCGGGTTGAAATGTGTCGCCCAGTTGCGGTTGCGGTTGCGCGCCCGCGGGCGGGTTGAAATGTGTCGCCCATTTGCGGTTGCGCGCCCGCGGGCGGGTTGAAATGCGTCGCGTAGTTGCGGTTGCGGTTGCGCGCCCGCGGGCGGGTTGAAATGTGTCGCCCAGTTGCGTTTGCGGTTGCGCGCCCGCGGGGGGGTTGAAAAGTGTCGCCCAGTTTCGGTTGCGCGCCCGCGGGCGGGTTGAAATGTGTCGCCCAGTTGCGGTTGCGGTTGCGCGCCCGCGGGTGGGTTGAAATGTGTCGCCCCGTTGCGGTTGCCGTTGCGCGCCCGCGGACGGGTCGAAATGTGTCGCCCACTTGCGGTTGCGCGCCCGCGGGCGGTTTGAAATGTGTTGTTCAAGGTGCCTTCTGACGTTCAGTCAGTCAATCAGTCAGTCAGTCAGTCAGACACCGGCGGGCGCGGAATTTCACCCGGCTCCGCCGGGAAACAAATCGGAGTTTTGGGATCGACGTACGTCTATAATAATCGTGTGCGCGTGTACACAGCAGAGCTCCATTCGACATCACAAGCGCTATGCCAACCGATGCTACAGACATGTCGCAGAGTGCTATCTTCAGTCAGTTTTGCTAATACCCCCACACATTTAAACTAAACTTTGCAGATCGGGCACACATGCCCGCAAACATCCAATTTCGGCTGTGGGCCTCCAACGCTCAGAAACACCGGATGGAACGAAGAGAGGGCACCACGCGTACCATGTCGCATGCGGTCGATATGACGAAGATGGATCCGTCTTGAAAATTGTTGCGACGGTGCGCCGCCGTCCTCTCCGTTTTCCTTCCCTCCCCTCCTGTCCATCCCGCTCCCAGACCCATGGTGATGACGAGGTTCGGGCACCACTTCAGCAGTTGGAATGGATCAGTCCCAGGCTAGTGGGATGACCAGATGAGCAATCGCAATCTGAAGCATCAGGACCAGGTTTCGTCTCAAACTTTGCATAGGCCTGCGCCACAGAGCAAATGGCCGTGAAGACATTGACCCCCTGTTATGTCGTTCATATCGCCCTGGGACATCAAACAAGCCAACATTTGGAGCCGAACAAGTCGTCATCGAATAGAGGTCCTAAAAGCGAGGACCAGTGCTGAACGGATTGTGAGGGCAACTCGGGAAACAGCTATGGCACATAGAAACAGAGCAAGGCCAAATCCAGTAGTCACCGAGAAAGATCACAACCCTTCTACAAGGGCGGGGAATGTCAGCTGTCATCCAGATGCGTTGTCCCACAAGACTGTGCGCGGCAGGTTCTGGCCACGATCACGCCAGCGCTGGTTTCTGTGACAACGTGAACAATTAAACACAAGCGGCTCTGGACTCCACCTTGCGTGAAGGTGATTATCCCTGAGTTGCGTTCAGCTTGGAGGCACTTCCTGAGAGCGTTCATCGCGAGAACGACTGGGGGGCTGGTGAGCCTGATTACGGGGACCCGAGTAGGTTTCATTAGACCCATGGAGATGCGATCGCCGATGCTGCATGGAACTGGCAATATCTGAGCCCCAGGGCCCGACACGGGTCCTGTGAGGGTGTCCAGCCTTGGCACCAAGAGCGACGGCCTTGCCGCCGCTCCGACTTGGCACCGAACTGCCCTGCAGCGGGCGGGTTCCTATCGAATTCGTGGAGAAAACAACGGGCGCGGCGTGAGCGGCATCGTGTTCTTGCAGACCTCGGCAGGCGGCGGGCAAGACGTCTCCTGCCTCCCCCTCCCCGCACTTTGTAACGTCATTCGACCCCACATCATCGTCATCTGC